TTGTCACTTAGTTATGTCGGAATCTTATAGTAACTGCTAATCCTTAATTAGTTTATTTTCTACTATATTCAGGTATTTTAATGTCTTTTGTACTTGTTACACTGAGGTTTTTCCGTGGCGGAAAAATCTCCATGGATAAGTTACATTCCTTTTCAATGGAGAATTATGTTGGTGGGATGATTACTGATTGTCTTGATGTTGATATGTTCTCATATTTTGAGTTTCTAGGTTATGTGAAAGAGTTTGGGTACAATAGTTCTTCTGTTGTTATTTATGTTAGACTATCTAATTGTCCTGGTTTAGTAGTAATTAAAGTTGATAGGGACCTTATGAGTATTTGCGAAAAGTTAAAAAGTGGGAATATTTTGGAGGTATATGTAGATCACATGGTTGATGATACTGTAGTGGTCCCCCCTCTATTAGAATATGTCAGGAAAGTGAGAGGTGATAGTAATGTTACTTTTGAGAAGGAATCTAGTCAAGATTTAGGGGGTTGTGAGGGTTTGTGAACTTCTGAAAAGGAATCGAATGTTGCTGAAAATAGTGCCAATAACAGTGTGCATCAAGCTTTAGGAGATTATTAGAAAAAAATTGTATGTTGGGAGGACTATTTGTAGTAGGGCAAGAAATATTCTGTTCAATGAGATATTGGGTGATCATAAATTGGAGTATGGCAGAATATTAGATTATAGGGATGAGTTGCTTAGATCTAATCTAGGGAGTACATGTGTAGTGAAGCTTAGTGATGAAACATTTGAAGGTGGGAAGAAATGTTTGTTGGGTTCTATATTTATTTTGATGCCATGAAGAAGTCCTACTTAGCTGGTTGTAGGTCATGCATTGGGTTAGATGGATATTTTTTAAAAGGTGTATGTAGAGGCCAACTACTTGTAGCAGTTTGCAAAGATGAATATAATTAGATGCTTTCACTTGCTTGGAATGTTGTTGAGATTGAAAATATGCACACTTGGAGGTGGTTTGTCAACCTTTTAAAGGATGATCTTCAGCTTGGAGACGGTATAAATCTGACCATTATAACAGACATAAAAAAAGTAAGAATTGGTAGTTTATTGTTATTTTTCTACTGCTAATTAACTTTAAAATTAACCGTTATTGTTCATTTTGCAGGGGCTAATAGATATACTTCCAAATTCTGAACATAGGATGTGTGCAAGGCACATCCTAGCTAACTGGGGAGGGGCATAAAGAGAAGGAACTGCTTTTGGAGGTGTGCAAGGTCTACCTATGAGTGGGAATTAAAAGAAAAATCTGGATGAAATGAATAAATTGGGTAATAAGATAGTTGATGAACTGTTGTACTAAAACATAAAAAGATAGAGCAAAGTGTATTTCAATACATTCTGCAAGTGTGATAGTGTTGACAATAATATGGCAGAATGTTGCAATGCTTGAATTTTGGCAGCAAGGCAGAAGACTATAGTGACAATGCTTGAAGAAATAAGGGCGAAGATGATGAACAAAATATGTCAACTTAGACAGTTTCGAAAACTTGGATTACAGATTTTTCACCAATGACTATGAAAGTCTTGGAAGAGAACGAAGAAAGATCAATGAAATGTAACATTTTTTGGAGTGGTGAGTTTGGATTTGAATTGAAGCAAGGACCAGGTGCAAGTAAAGTGAACCATCTGGTGGACATCAACAAGCAAACATGCACTTGGAGAGCTTGAATGTTAAAAGGTATACCATGCGCTCATGCAGTTGCTGCCCTGCATTATAAAAATCTGGAGCCTTTGAACTATATTTCTCACTGGTNATGTCATAAAGCTACTGGAAGTAATACTGCTGCTACTTTAGCAGGTTCTGTGCCTGCAAGTGTTGGTAGTTCAAAGGCACAAAAGCAAATTACTAAAAGAGGAAGGGGTAGGCCAAAAGATTCTAAAAAAAGGTAAATTTTTTCCCTTTAAGGTCATCTTAAGAATTTTTAAATTATAAACAGATTCTTACTTTTAATTGGTTGATGTAGGATATTGGTACTAGTAGTAATATAAGAACACAATATAACAAGCCAATGATAGTTGGGATGAGAGTTTTACACACTCAAAGTGGCTTCAAAATTCAAAATGTAAGTTCTAAGACTACATCTCATATTTAGGTAGTCTGATTTTCTGTTGGATTTTGGCAGCCTGGAATGTCCTCTACAAACTTTAAAAATGTGAGGTCTTCAACAGAAGTAACTGGAGATCTAGGTCATCAACCAACAAGAGGTGTTAAATGGAAAGGCAAATAAGCTATGACATCAAGGCAACTTCAATAATTGAAAGGCAAAAAAATTATTCAAACAAAGTCTAGTGCTGCTAAGTTGAGCCTGGAAAGCACCACTGCAAAACCATCCAATTGTTCAAGAGTCTATTTTGTGGCTGACTGTACTGCAATAGACTACATTTTGATAAGGATTTTTAGGCAGCTATAGACTGCATATTTCATTTTGTTAGCTTATGATGTCTGTTTTGTTGCTGCTACAATGAGAACAAAAAGTGTTTATGTAACTAAATATGCAGCTGTGACTGTTTATTAGGTTTGTTTCTTTTAGATCAATGAGGCTAAATATGTGTTTTTATACTGTTTATGCAGCTGTCCTATTATGTCTCGTCTGTCTATTGTTGTGATTAGAAACTAAAAATAGTTGTATGAAGATACATGCTTGATTGATTGCTTCTGGGCATACAAAGAAACAACAAGAACACACCTACAACACTTCAAACATTCAAACATCAATTCATTAGAAACAACACTTCATTACTATCTGTCTATTGTTGTGATTAAATACTAAAAATAGTTGTATGAAGATACATGCTTGATTGATTGCTTCTAGGCAACAAGAACACACCTACAACACTTCAAACATTCAAACATCAATTCACTAGAAACAACACTTCATTACTTACCAAGAAAGGTTTATTACATACAAATAAAAGGTCCATTACAAACATACAAAATAACACATGCAAGCAACAACTACATACATATTGAGACAAGAACATTAGATTCAAATGGCAACTCCATTGCATCTTTTTTCAAAGACATTACTGGAAACCTACAAGCAACAAGTATAATACATATCCCCAAGATAATGAACCAAAGTACATTTTCCCTAGCCTTGGACCTAGCCAATTTGCTCTTCCACTTCTTTTTTGCCTCTTTCATCTTCTCCCTATCAACTTGTAATTTTACCAATTGAGCCTCAATCTTCTCCATCTTCTCCCCTTCTATGGTATTTTCAACCTTTAAAGCTACCCTCGGCTTGGCAAGAATTTCAAAGCCTTCTATTACGGTCTCAAGTTCACCCATTTTGTCAAGAAACTTTGGAATAACAAATTTCGACCGAGGATCAATTTCGGAATCCTTCCAAACTCAAAAATCACAAGATCGTGGACCCTAAGATGAATAAAAAAAGAAAATTAATCAAAGATAGTTTTTCACAACTCAGTTATTGAAAGAATTTTCATTATTATTTACCCCATAGTATGGACAAACCCAATATCTTCTTCCTAGGTTCCGAGGTGTCCAAGCTGTTAACAAAGGCAGCACATACCCATGGTTGCATCGAATTTCTCCACTTAACTCATTTTCTTCCTCTTCGGTGCAAAGCCTTGTCAAATTCAAGCCTTTTGAAGGCATTGCAACAACTACAACACAAACAGACGATACCAAAGTCAGATAATTTGCTGACGAAAATATTAGAAACATCAGCCACATTACAATGTTTAACCAAAAGAAATTGGATTTAGGAGAAAGACATAATAATAATAATAAAAGAAAGAAATTTTGGTTCTTTAGGAGGAGAAAGATTAACCTTTGCTTTTAAAGATCAAAACTTCAAAAGGAAATTTGATGCAATTTCGGTAGAATTTAGATGAAGAAGAAATTAGGGTTCTTCACTTGGGTTTGGTAAAAAACTGAGGAAGAATGGATATTACCGTTGGGTTATCTTGAAGTTAAATTTTTTTATTTTTAGGGTGTTTTTAACGATTAAAAGAGAGCAAGGACGCACTCATAAACGTTGTCTAAGACGCGCAGCTGGCCAGGGCTTAAGAGGGAGTAAATAAATATTGTTTTAACAATAATGGGGTGTTAGGACAACTGTAAAATTTAAGTGTGTAAATAATTTTTCAGAACAAGTTAAATGGGGTATTTATGCATTTTCTAAAAAATATAATGTTGTTAAACTAACCAATAATGTAGCATTAAATAATATGAGGTGGATCTGATATGTTCTTCATGTGGGGGTGAGTAAGCAACACACACTATATATTTTGGTCGAGTTCAAGTGCCTAATTAAAACTTCGTGGAGTAAAAGAATCTGGATATCAAAATAAAACAAATTGATATGCCTATTAGGCTATTCATCAAATAAAACATTGAGTTCATTAACGTGACTTTGTTCAAAATATAAGTACTTCAACTTCATCGAGTCCATATTTTGATGATCATTGAATTGTTGCGGGTCAGAGGCTTCTGTTTCACTAGGCCGATGCAATTACTATGTCATAAAATATTCTCTTGGTGGATTTCATATTCCAAAATTTTAATTTAGGAATTTTTGAATATTTAATAATTTCTTTTTTTCAATGAATTAAAGAAGGGAAAGAGAACTTTAAACCCATTTGAATTAGCTTAAAAATAGTTGTTTTTTCGGCAAAAATATCTGTTAAGACAAAAAGCAATTTCTAAACAGTTTTAACTTATTGTAAATATGTTTTAATTTTTAAAAGCCAATTCAAACATCCATAGTAAATAAAATAATCCCTCCGTTCAAATCTATGTGAACTTGTTTAATTGAAGACGGAGTTTAAGAAAAAATAAAGACTTTTGGAATTTATGATCTTAAACAAATCAAAATGGAGCCCAGAATATTTATGTGGTTATAAAAGCTTCTCGTTAAGTATAGAATTGTAAGTTGCTAAATTGTTATCAAATTTATACCAAAAAAGTAAATAGCTTTTATCACACAGGTTACAAACTCAGCTCACTCCAACTGAAAAAGAAAAAGAACAATAAACTAACATAACCTCCAGTCGTCACTCTCTCTCTCTCTCTCATCTCTCAGTCCCATGGCTTCTCCATTTCCTTCTTCACTCATTTAACCCATTTTCCCTTCACTCCAAAATCCTCTTTCTCCGTGCTTCTTCATAATATAGTTTTTCTTCCATTCGGTCAAATGCCCGACAGAGATGGAGCTCCAAATCCAAATCCGAACCCTGACAAGCCGGAGAAACCTCCCTTGCTCAAGAAATCGAAAACCATCGCCGACAAAACACCTACCGTCGCCCACTTCCCGGGCCCACTTTTCCCCACCGTTCGTCGTGTCTCTTCTACTCCACTATCCTCCCCCCGCTTCTCCTCTGAATCTAATACATACTCCGCTCCTTCTACCTCCACATCAACTTCCGCATCCACGAGTGTTGATGCAAACTTCGGATTTGGTGATCGTGACTACGTTTATCCTTCTTTTCTGGGACCTCATACTGCTAGGAGTAGAGTCAACGTCAAGTCAACTTCCAAATCACAGAGGAATCAGCTGGAATTGTCGAAATTACCCGCTCGTAGCGAGTCTATGCCGTTGAATTTGACTAGTGACGAGGGTGGAGCTAAGGCTGAGCCGAAGATGAAGCCGAAGCCGAAGCCGAAGCTGAAAGCTGAGAGAGATTTGAATGCTTTGTCAATTCAAGTCTCGAATCCAGCTTCTTCTTCAGCTTTGTCATCAGAGTCTTCTACTTCAGCTAACTCCTCTAATGCTCGAAGAGCTTCTGGTCATAACAGTTCCTGGTTCCTTTTTTTGGTTTGTGTTTTTAATGCTTTTCCCATTCTATTTCCTATTGACTTCTTGCATTTCTGTTCGATTCCCCAGTAAGCGGGAAAAATTATAACCAAAATAACTTGCAGAAATGTGAAATCTAATACTCCCTGCGTCCTAATTTACATATGCAGTTTGACTGGGTATGAAGTTGAAGGAAGAAAGAAAGACTTTTGAAACTTGTGAATTTGTGTGACTATAAATCATCTCATTAAGGGTAAAATAAGAAGTTTAAATCTACAATGTTTCTAAATATAGAAATGTATCTTTTTTTTGGGACACAGTAAAAAGGAAAGTGCATCACATAAATTGAGATAGAGGGAGTAATATTAAGTAGTGGCATAGTACTTCCTTGTTGTCCCATTCTATGTATCTTGTGTTTGACTGGATTAATTTGAAATGTTAGTTTGACTTATATGTAGTATTATGTAAATGATGTTGGAAAAACAATTAAAGTAATGGTCGAATTGTTAGTCTGGTAAAGATTGCCTCTAGTTTAAACCTTAAAATACGAATAGTTTAGCGAATTTGAATTCTTGAAAAGTATGAAATCTGTTAGAATGGAATGATGTCAAACATTTGAGACATCTCAAAAAGGAAAGATTTTTATAAATTGGATGGAGAGATTGCATAGTAGTGTAGTAGTATGTTTTAATGTTTTGGTTAATGGGAATTTTTTGCCCATTTAACCTTTTCTGGATATCAAACATTTCTGTTCTCTATGCGTTAGGTTTATGGTTCTTGTTTATAGTGTATTGACCAATTATTTCCCCTTATTGCAGCTTAAATTTGTTTGTACATTATCAGTATCTCACACATTATATTTGCAGAATGAAGTCTCTAAGCTTCAGGTATGCTCCCTAGTCCCCACAAACACTGCTAAATTCGCGAAGTCTTTTCCTCCGGTGTTCATTCAAAGTATAAACATAGTTTCCATTACTGTTTGTTGGAAGAAGCATGAATACTACTTATCGCCAAAAATAAAGAAAAGAGCCACTATTTATTGGAAGAAACCCTCAAATTTACTTAATTTCTTGCTTTCTTGTTGTCAGTAAATAGTTGGTTCTCAGTACGAAAGTTGAAGGTGAGGAATGGTTTGTTTGCAGGAGGAGAATGTTAGTCTTCGCAGAGTTTGTAGCCATGTTGATCTTGCCAGTGCTGGTATCACAGAGCTAGAAGAATTTAATTCACTAGTGTATTTTGGGAATGCTGACAGTAGAATAGTTGCTCTGTACATGGTGGTTTTCATCCTCGTTACTCCTTTTGTATTTTACAAATATCTTGACTCTCTTCCGAGAATAATTGATCTCTTAAAGAGGAAAACTACCAAAAAGGAGGAGGTTCCATTGAAGAAAAGGATTGCTTACATGGTGGATGTGTGTTTCTCAGTTTACCCTTATGCAAAGCTGCTTGCACTTCTCTTTGCCACTCTCTTTCTAATTGGTTATGGAGCATTGGCACTTTATGCCGTTGGTGATGGCAGCTTTACTGAAGCTCTTTGGCTTTCTTGGAGCTTCGTAGCAGACTCTGGAACCCATGCTGATATGGCTGGTGCAGGGCCAAGGATAGTTTCAGTTTTGATAACCTCAGGAGGCATGCTCATATTTGCTATGATGCTGGGGCTTGTTTCAGATGCTATTTCAGAAAAAGTGGATTCTTTACGGAAAGGAAAGAGTGAGGTGATTGAAAGTAATCACATTCTTATTCTTGGGTGGAGTGATAAATTGGTAAGTCTATAGTATCTCGCTTAAAATGTTGTGACTTTTTGGTATTATCTGGCTTTTGCTCTAAGATGCCTTTATTTGGGTAGGAAAAAGATAGAGATTGGATCTGGATTGATGTATATTGGATATGGGCAATCCGCAATCTATATCCATTCGAAATCCAATAGATTTATATGATCCATAAAAAAGTTTGGTCCAAATTCATCCTTTTCACAGTCCATTCGATTCAAACATATTGGACGCTGATGAATCGTTTGATTTAAATATATACAGTCACACACTCACACACATTGTCACCTGTATGGCTGTGCAACAAGGTTGTATGGTTGGACCCAAATCTTACATTGACTTGTAAATAATATAATCTAAGTTAGTGAGATTTATTCTTCGTAGATAATAGTTTGTTACAGAAATACATTTTACTTCTACTTTTGCCGTTTTCAGCTGTTAATTGAACTCTCTGTCTGGGTATTTAGTGCGGAATTCTTTTCCTACATGACTCGTAAAATGAAAATCTTGAATAAAGGTGCTTTTGGCAAGCAATATCAAGTAGGCTTGATATCGATTTGATTTATAAAATTACACTTTATAAAAAAAGAGACTTGATATAGGTTTTGTTTTCTTTTAATAATAGAACGACGAAAGAAAAAAAAGATAGCAAGCCTACCTTATACAAGAAAGAATGACTTTTTAATTCTCATTACCTTCTCAATTATCTGGTAGTGTGAAGATCTGCAAATCGTCGATAGTAGGCTTGCAGGTAAGATAGTACCATTGAATCTTGAGAGATCTTGGTGGAGAAGAGCAAAGAGATACTTCTAGAATAGCTTTCAGATCGGACATATTTGTTTCCGTTAGCTGCAAACTTCACTTGGTGTTGCTTTCGCTATATGGAAGGAATTATCTGCTTTAATCATGACTTTTGATACTGATTATGACACAGAGGGGTAAAGGTATTTTCTTATTACAGGGGTCACTTTTGAAGCAGCTAGCAATAGCAAACAAGAGCATTGGTGGTGGTGTTGTCGTTGTGCTTGCGGAAAGAGACAAAGAGGAGATGGAGATGGACATAGCAAAGTTAGAATTCGACTTCATGGGAACTTCAGTGATCTGCAGAAGTGGCAGTCCGCTAATACTTGCTGATTTGAAAAGGGTGCGAGAGCCTATCTTTTTTCTTTTCCTTGTTGACCCTGATACCCCCTCTTATCTTTTAATCGCATTTCCTTTACCTCATTATCCTAATTTCCTAATTTACTCTGTGGTAAAAGTAACTAGTGACTTATATTCTTCTTAATCCCCTTAACCTTTCAATTCCTTCTTTCTTATAGTTATTTCTCTTTGTTTTTGTTCTTCTATGGCGCATGCAGGTCTCAGTCTCGAAAGCACGTGGAATCATTGTCTTAGCATCTGATGAGAATGCTGATCAGGTGTTTTTCACAAATGAATCTTCAGGCTCTAAACAAGCAGATAATTCAGACTAATTATTCCAGTTTTTCCTCCTTTTAGAGCAGATAATTCAGACTAACTATTCCAATTTTTCTTCTTTTTAGAGTGATGCACGTGCTTTAAGGGTTGTACTTAGCCTAACTGGAGTAAGAGAGGGGTTGAGAGGTCATGTTGTTGTGGAGATGAGTGATCTCGACAACGAACCGTTAGTGAAGCTTGTTGGTGGTGAACTTATTGAAACAGTTGTTGCTCATGATGTGATTGGGAGGTTGATGATACAATGCGCTTTGCAGCCTGGCCTTGCTCAGGTCAGTTATATATAGTTCTCTTACATTATATCTTCATTTGTCTTCACTTGCTCACTTTGGCAGCTTTATACCACTTATGTTGTCATCTAGACATGCTGTAGTCCTTCTGGTTCCTCTTGTATGTATTGGTTAATGATACTCATTAGTGTTGCATTCAATGAGTGTGCATCCGCACACACTTGTGCCTTAAATTTCCTGAAAAACTTGCAAGGTTGGACCAGAAGAATTCTCTTCCTTTTGAGTTCCATGTTGATGAAAAAACAACAACAACGATGACACTTTCCAAACTACTTCGGGTCTGTTGTAATCCGCAAAGCCCATTTTGCTCCATTTGTACCTGTTTCACTCCAGTAGAAGTTCAATATTATGAAATTCATATATTAACTTCTTTTATACTGGGCGTTACCTACCACAACCCTCCTTTATCTGATCTTTGGACCGGCAATGTGTCCTCACATAGATTCTAAGCTTACAGAGGCGAAGTTGAGGTCCTTGTTAATCTTACCTATACATAGCCAGAAAATGTGAGAACATTTTCTAGATTGCTTTTGCTGTAAACATGTTGACAGTTACATGTGGTCATTCGATAAATAATTCTGTTGCTATTTCATACTGTTCTGCCGTTAATGCTCCTGAAATTTGATGCACCGTCTTTTCGGGGCTACAGATCCAGTATAAGGTTATTCTTTCTTTGAGTGCTTTTTTGGGAACATGCCTTCCCAAGCTGCAAATGAATGATGATCTGATACTTGCATCTGCATACTACTAAAGTTAGTTATTCTTAGTTACGGTTTAGTTGATACACCTTTGTTCAGGAGGAACAGAAAAATGGAAGACGATCACAGCCATTTACCAAATTGTTTTGGAAAACCATAATGATTACCCTCATGACATGCCCACTTAATGTACAACTGATATGCACGAGAAAACTCATTGTAGAGTAACAATAATATAGAGGTAACTACTGATTGCCATATCACAGTAGTATAGATTTCTCAATTTTAGCTTGATCCTGTTATTGGTAGCTGTTGGTCTCTGCGGACGAGTAATACGTATTTTCTTGTTTAATTCTCTTTGTTGTCCAATATGGCAGATTTGGGAAGACATTTTGGGCTTTGAAAATGCAGAATTTTACATTAAACGGTGGCCTCAATTGGATGGTGTACCCTTTGAAGATGTACTGGTATCATTTCCAGATGCAATTCCTTGTGGAGTTAAGGTTGCTGCTGATGGGGGGAAGATTATCATAAATCCTGATGATAGATATGTTCTAAAAGAAGGTGATGAAGTCCTTGTCATAGCTGAAGATGATGATACCTATGCACCAGGTCCCTTGCCAGAGGTATTTTTCTTCTCTAAAATTGATGGTTATCAGGCATTCCTGTGGAATTTTGTGATTAGATTTATTGACTGTTCCCTTTCGATGAATACCTTCTAATCTTTTCTTTGGGTCAATATCGCAAACCTTCTTACACCTTTCTGATCCACCTCCATATTTCCCTTTAGTTCCGGAAAAAGTTAAATACATTTTCGGTTTTACTATGAGATGCAAGTATTTCTGCTGATTTGCTATTGCATCTTGTTCTCCTTTCTTCATGCTTCTTCACAGCTAATGTGGAGTTCCATGTCCTGTTATTGTTTGCTTAAATTTTATGAATTAAGCATGTGATGTTGTTTAGTCTTGGTTGAGCCAGTAATGCTACTTATGATCTCTTGTTTATGCATTTAAAATGTCATGGATATATTGGGAATTATGAGAGAAGAAACTGTATGGAAAACTTGATGGCAATGAAGTGCAAGATACACTTATTTATAGGTGTGAGATACATTGCACATGTTATACTTAACTGACGTTTCTAGATTGCTGCATCTATACATATTTCACTAAGTTTCTAATACTTCCATGCGAGTTAATAGCCTGTTTGGCCAAGCTGTAAAAATCAGCTTATTTTGAGAAGTGCTTTTCTCAAAAGTACTTTTGATGAGAAGCAGTTTGTGTTTGGCTAATTAATTTGAAAAGCACTTCTGAGCAACAATTTTTGGCCAAGCTTTTAAAAACTGCTTCTAATAGCCTGTTTGGCCAAGCTTCTTTTTGGCCAAAAGTACTTTTTTTTGGTCAAAAGTGCTTTTGGCCAAAAATTGAGGTGTTTGGCCAAGCTTTTGGAAGGAAAAAAAGTGCTTTTGAGGAGAAGCAGGAAAAAGTAGCTTCTCTCCAAAAGCACTTTTTTTGAGAAGCACTTTTGAGAAAAATACACTTAGAAGCAGTTTTTTAAAGCTTGGCCAAACATTAATTGCTGCTCAGAAGTACTTTTCAAACTAATTAGTCAAACACAAACTGCTTCTCACCAAAAGTACTTTTAAGAAAAACACTTTTGGAAAAAAGCACTTCTCAAAATAAGCTGATTTTTGCAGCTTGGCCAAACGGGCTATAAGTGTTTTTCTTCTTCTCAAAAGTGCTTTTCAAAAAAGTACTTTTGGAGAGAAGCTACTATTTTATGCTTCTCCAAAACTGCTTCTCCTCAAAAACACTTTTTTTTTCTTCCAAAAGCTTGGACAAACACTTCAATTTTGAAAAAAAGAAAAGTACTTTGTTTTGAAAAAAAGTGCTTCTAGGATTGGAGAAGCTTGGCCAAACAGGCTATAAGTTTCTAATACTTCCATACAAGGTGGTGTACACATCTTATGTTCCTAATTTATTACATATGTAATAGGTCCCTGGAATGGTGAGGGATTTGATGGATATGTGAGCACACTCGTCATTTGGCTTTACAAACTTAGTTACTCTTCTTTTAGGAGAAGGAGAAGGAGAAGGGAGGACGTGAGAATGGAGAAGGTTGATTATTCAATTAAGCTTGATAGGGAATTTATAGCAATTACAATGTACACGTATTTGGTCAGCATATAAACACAAAATAAAAACCCTAGTCAAATCCCTAAATCAATAGTCAAATCATCCTGATTTAATGCTAAACATCAAATATCTTAACACTCCCGTGTACATCCTCTAAAGGGTTAGTATGAACATCTGCCAACTGATCATTCAAGCCAACAAAGCTGGTGGCTATGCATCCAAACTCGATCTTCTGTCTAATGAAATGATAGGCCTCTTCTATATGCTTTGTCCTCGATGAAAAACAGGATTTGAGGCAATGTGAAGAGCATCTTGATCGTAGCACATTAGCTTCATATGCTTGACTTCTACACACCTTAACTCTTGGAGAAGTTGTTTTAACCAGATAAGCTCACATTTAGCAAGAGACAGCTTGAAATTCCACTTCTGCACTATATCTTACTTTTTTACTTCTCCAAGAGATTAGGTTTCCTTTAAACATGATACACAGACGTGATGGAGAACCGACCCAACCGTCATCAGAATATATCCAACAATGTCTAATTGACTCTCGTTTTATTGTGAGGAATTGTTCCTCAAAAAATTTCTAAATGACTCTTGTCTTCATATAACAATCATTGTCCTAGAGCTCCTTTGATGTATATGAGGATATGATTTACTGCATCCCAATAACCTTTACACAGGGCTTGGAGGAATTGACTGATGACATGTACTACACATGAAATATATGGTCGTGTAATTGTGAGGTAATTCAGTTCACCGACCAATCTTCGGTATCTACCAGGATCTTCCAAGAGCTTCCATTGACCAGAAACAAGTTTAACATTCACTATATTCTGGATTTTGTTAAGAGTTCTAGCTATGATGCTTGGACTCGGGTATGGGTATCTGATATGGGTGGATCTAGAGGTCAGATTCTTCATCACATAAATTTAGGATTGGGGTTATGGATCCAACTACGGATATGGGTGCTGGGATACAACCTATAAATGTTTATTTCGACATATAGAGTATATATTTCGATAAAAATAAGTATATATTTCGATTAATTAAAGTTATTGAACTCAAACTAATAAAATTTAATTCTTTCTATACACCTAATACTTTTTTTATAAGATATCTCCTGTAATAGCAAAAGAATTCTCATATTTGGTATGTGTGTGTGCGCGCGCGCGTGTATTAGTGTTGTCAAAGGCGCGCTTAAGCCTTCAAGCGAAGCTCAAAACATGTTGAGCGCTTCGCCTCGCTTTATGGGCGCTTTAGTATCGCATCAAGGCTCTAAGGTAAATATGAGTGTAATCATGAAAAGGCTACATTAAACAATTGAAATTTCAATTTATCATAATTTTCTCAATTTCTTTATCCAAATATTTGTTATTCATGCTTATAATTATTAGTCTTGGATTACATGTACATATTTTTACTTTTTCTCCAGTTGCGCCTTTTTTCATTAACACGCTTTATTTGCGCTTTGCACTTAAAACCTCACGGATCTTAGAGCTTTTTTGCACTTTTCGCCTTTGATAACACTGGTGTGTATATATCTATATACGACATAAACCCAGAAAACAAACCAAATACCCAATCAATCTATACTTCTTGATCATAGATGTAGTCAAAGCACCCAAGATAAGTTGACCAAATCCGATGTGGATCCCACACCCATGTCGTGTCGACACGGGTGCAGGACTCTTGAAGAGTCCCTGCAACATAGGTTTCTAGCATGAGGCTGTTGACAACAAAGCTTAAAGTTTTTTGGTCTAGTGACGTTAATTGGTTCCTTTACCATAGTTTGGCGGTTCTGGTAAAGCATGATAACCGTAAGATATGGCAAAAATGAAGATGAAATACACCACTGTTACTGCATAAATATTTGCATGATATTAGGTCACACCCTCTCAATATTCTTGGAGATTATATTTGCTAAGCCTGTTCTGATCTTGGTGGTCCCTGTAAGCTAAAATAGGATAAAGGAGTTATTTCTGGCAGAAGTTTTGCAAGGATCATATATAGGAACTTGTTTACTACCTAAGAATTTTTACTACTGGTTGGCTATCCTTGCTTTCAAAATCTATTGAGTGCTGTATTCTAGTTCCTTTTCTGAACTTAAGGTACTTATCATGTGTGACCAAGAGATAGCGGTATAACATTAGTTCTATTTATCACTCTGTTAGGCAATATAATTCATGGTTCCTTAAATAAGAAAACAAAGACAAGAATGGAGTCGCGTATCGCGATAACTTGTATGTTTGTATTTTGTGAATCTATTGGTTGCTCTCTTCTATAGTTCACTATTTGTGATCCTTGTTTGGTGATATTTTAACAATGCATGGTTGACACTGGCTCAGTTTTTGTATTTGCTTATATAATGACTTGCTTTTTGCAGGTAAATAAAGGCCTATTCCCTAGGATAGCTGATCCTCCAAAATATCCAGAAAGAATCTTATTCTGTGGTTGGAGACGTGATATTGACGATATGATTATGGTATAGTTTACATACCTACATCTTGATCGCCTATCCTGTCAATCTCTCTCTCTCTCTCTCTCTGTGTGTGTGTGGGGGGGGGGCTTGTTCCCCTCCCTTTTTCATTCTAAATATGTTGAGTAAGAAGATCTAGAAAGCGATATGTATTAGGAGTAGAATAAGTTCTAGTCCCATATGTAATAGGAGTAAAATATGTATTATGTATAGAGCTCATTGTTAATAATAAATTTTTCTCCCGTGCATTCTCACATGGTATCAGAGCTTCAGTGAGAAAATTATCGTTGTGTGTCATTCCAGCGACATCCGGGAAGAAAGATCTCATCGTTGTGCAATTTTCCGGCAACTTCGCCTTGTTCCCAGAGTTCATCAGTGCTACAGTGGATGCATATACCAGTACCACCATCAGATCTAAAACCCTTGTGCGACCAAACCCCAGAAATTCCAGTCCCATCGGAACAGAAAAGTCAGTCACCGTGCGTCTTTCCGGTTGATGACTCAAGATTGATTTACGTTATCTCCTCATCGGTAACTGTTGTGCGAAAACCAACACTACTATCTTGTTTGGAAAAGTCAGGTACAAAACCCTAGTCAATCACTCCGGCAGAAAGTCCCTCACACCGCCAGGCGAGCTACAATAACTTTTCCAACGCGTGTGAGCCATTCCGACCACTTTTTAACAAAACTTCTTTAGGACAACTTTATTTTTTCCGGTGTGAATAGTGCACTTTTACCGGCGTGAACAGTGATTTCACGACGTGAACAATATTTTCCAGAAAAAGTTATCTGTTTTCTGGTGGTGTTTTAAAACCTATTTTGTAGTTTAGAATTCGGCTTAGTCTCACTATTTTAAGATTTTTCCGTCGACCTTTCAGCTAACTTCTATTTATCAGCAACCACCTGGTTTTGTTGCTCAGGGGGAGTCTAGTGGCCTTGTATGTCGAATGATCAGCTTGAAGATATTTTCACCAAGTACCTCACTGGTCCTCATATTAGTTACATATGTAACAGGCTCGGTACATATGATTTGTATGCACCGACTTGAGGGGGAGTGTTAGACAGTTATGTGTAAATAGTCTTAGTCCCATATGTAGTAGGAGTAAGTATGTCCTAGTCCCATATGTAGAAGGAGTAGAATATGTCCTAGTCCCATATGTAGTAGGAGTAGAATATGTATATAATATAGGGATCATTGTATCATTGCTAATAATGGATTTTTCTCCCGTACATTCTCACAAAATTTTTGAAAGAAAGAAAAACTTTTGAAACTTGTAGTCTAAAACAAGCCATGGACATTTGTGTAGCTATAAATCATCTTATTAAGGGTAAGATGAGAAGTTTAAAGTAAAATTATTTCTAAATATAGAATGTAGTCATTCTTTTTGGGATGGACTGAAAAGGAAAAAACGTCACATAAGTTGGGACAGAAGTAGTATATAGATTGTCGCATAAATCAATGTGGGTATCAGTCTCAAAAAATGATTCAATGTGGGTATTATTTAATACCGCCAATCAAACACTACATATTTATTTGTATACGCGATGTACTATCTTACGAGAGATTTTATGTTGAGATTAATTATTCCAATACCATCAATAAACCGACCCCTTAGTACATCTAAACTTTTGTAAGTCTTCGTTTTAGATTGACTCAGTTTGATCCCAACTTAGTAAGCTAATCAATGGTATTAGAATGTCCTACATTGGTTGTGGTAATGGGTTGAGTGAGGCCTGATGTCCATTTCTTAAACATGGTACCAGATCCATACCCACTGTTATTCTTGGTTTTGCCAATTTTTGGTCCCCATGTTATATTATTCTTGTTCCAGATGTCCAGACTTGGGTTTCAGTGGTGTTAAAGTGTCCACGTTAGTTGAGGAAATGATTTGTTTCCTTATATGATTTTGGGCAAATCCTCACTCCTCATGAGCTTGCTTTTGTGGTTAAGTTAAGCCCAGGGTCAAATTTCTTAATAGATGGATTAAATGCTCCTTTGTTTTCAGATTGGACGTTATGGCTTGATGTAGTGTCATCTGCCCTCTCAAAATAGAGACCCTCTTTTTTTTTTTTTTTTTTTTTTTTTTTTCCTCTGACACTCAGAAATAAATTGTACCAAAAAATCAAACTTCCATTTGCAGTTTCAAAGTGGTACATTTCAGTTTGGGCCCTACTATTCTTTCCAGTTGATGTGGAGAAATGCTGCTACGAGCCCTTGGATATCATCTAGGTTACTCTTTGTTTTTAGGTGCTTGATAATTGCCACTACAAATTGCTATGAAACTCTCTAGTTATTCCCTTTTCTTGTCAACATCTCTTTATCTGGTATACTTTACACAATAGTTTGAGAAAACTGATATTCCTTTGGCTGAACATAGTTTTTTTTAAAATTTAATTTCGAGTTAAACTTTTAATGCCATCTTCTTTATAAATCTCAGCACTGGAACTTTTGTGTTCGAAGCTTTTCTAAGAATCAAATACATTGTTTCAATCCTAAACAGTGAGATAGATACTATACATGAGTTTCACAGGCTTCTGCACATTTTGTTTGTTAGGTGCTAGAGGCATTATTGGCTCCAGGGTCTGAATTATGGATGCTTAATGAGGTTCCTGAGAAAGATAGAGAAAGGAAGTTGACTGATGGGGGCCTTGATATCTCAGGACTGGAGAACATAAAACTTGTCCATCATGTGGGAAATGCAGTGATTAGACGTCATTTGGAGGGTCTTCCTTTGGAGACATTTGATTCGGTAAGTTCAAGTTGTGCTCATACTTTGAGATCTTTGATTATCTCCTAAAAGAAAAACTGGAAAAATATTAAATGAAGGTCATTTCTCAAATAAGGTTGGAAGAAAACATGATCATGTTTGGTTGCATGAAAGATGTGTATTTATTTTAAATNCAGAAAAATATTAAAAGAAGGTCATTTCTCAGTTAAAGGTGGAAGAAAACATGGTCATATTTGGTTGCATGAAAGATGTGTATTTATTTTAAATTTCCTGGCCAAAACTAATATTTCTGGATTTGATATAGCCTAGTGCTAGATTGTTGGTGAATCTTTTTAGTAATTATACACACTTCCCAATTCCGGCAAGATATTTGGTGTTAACTTGTGAATAAGGATCTGGATGCAGTGGGCTAGTTGCTCTTGATTTTCCTTTGTGTGGCAAAAGCAAAAACGAGAATCATTTTGATTTAAACTGATATCAGATGATAGTATATTGGCATGTTAATTCATGTTTTTGTTGGTTCACCGTTTACTAACTCTAAGAGAATAGATTCTGATTCTTGCAGATGAATCTGTTGAAGACTCCATTGTTCACTCTGATTCACGGTCTCTTGCCACCCTCCTCCTCATCCGAGATATCCAGGTCATTGTTGCTAACTTTTAATTGAGACATATAACCAAAGTTTTCTTCTTCACTGGAGTATTTGTTTTTGAGAAACATTTCTTGTTTCCACTATTAATGTGCAACTTTTTCTTTTCGCCATCTTCAATTTCTCTTCACTTCCCTTTTTCCTTTCTCCCCTTCAGTGCTAATGATCCCCACTTCCTCTTCCTCTGGCCTAATTTTTTTTTTGTTTCCCATGTCAAAATGGGTTACAGTACTAAGGTTGATGTCGTTAATCCTCAAATAGTGATTGAAATTGCTGAATTGTTATTTAATGCAGTCGAAGCGTCTTCCTAATAAAGATTCTAGGTCGATTCCTCTACGGCATTCTGTGTTTTCTCAGAGCTCCTGGATTCGTGAAATGCAGCAGGCGTCAGACAGATCAATAATAATAAGTGAGATATTGGATTCTAGGACAAGAAATCTTGTTTCAGTCTCTCGAATAAGCGATTACGTGCTATCAAATGAACTGGTGAGCATGGCACTTGCAATGGTAGCAGAAGACAAACAGATTAATCGTGTGCTAGAAGAATTGTTTGCGGAAGAGGTATTTGTTTTTACCTTTATTTACTTATATTCTGAATGCATGCTTTAATATAGTGTACGATTTTATATGTATTATCACTCAGCCTTTTCAAGAATAGAATGTGTATGAAAAAAAACATTGAAGTGAGTGATAAGCTAAATTGTGGTGGAATGGCAAGGCATGGCATTCAGCTAGGTATTCTACTAGGATGCATTTACTTCTAGCTGATACGAGACAAGCTAGTCTTTCCTTCCTCTCTCATATTCATCATGACAGAGCCGGGTTTTGACCGGAGGTCCAGGGGGTGTGTGTGGTGGTGGTGGT